TGTAAGTAACAAGTGGATTTTTTTCATCTATCTTAATACTTAAAGAGGGAGAACTCTTTAAGAGGTGAGTACAGTTTTCTCAGTGACACTGAAACACATGATATACCCCCATTAGATCTGTCTCCTGTCCTGAGACGAGAAGGCAGTTGACAATGTTCCTTAATGACACATAGGATGAGGGGTGAATCCTGCTTAACCTCCCTGTACGGATTGTTCCACTGATTATAATGAGGTTTTAGTTTCGCTGGTACCACATGTATATGGAGCAATAAGAATTCCACAAGAGAGGTTCCATTTTTTTGGAAGCATCACTCATCTAAGCCATCTCTGATTTAAAAAAATGAAGTTCCTTTTACAGAAACCATACAAAGCCGTTGTCAAGACTTATATGAAATACTATTGTGTCCTAATAATAACTTCTAGCTGAAAAATCTTGGCATCTTGCAGTTTAGGAAAGGGCTTGAAAATTCACCTTCAGTTTTTGGGCAACAGGCAAAACATGTGGCTCTGTTTAGGAGCTATTTTCGTTAGAGCTTGACAATGCTGGATGATAAAATACAGCTGCATTGTTTCAACTTTGAATTTAATTTCTGGTTTGGGTCCAAGTTGTTTCATCAATATGGCGCCATTCATTTCAAAACAAAGCTCTTGGAAGGGTCTCCATTACCCCACCATTGATCAAGACGGTGTTAAAATGTAGAACCTAATTATGTTCCTGGCCTGTTTGGAATTCCAAAATTGGATTTTTATAACTGTAAAATTTGCAGTCAGGGTAACTTTCCAGGGCAATTAGTCAGAATTATTAGAGCTTTTGTTGCCAGGGAGTTATAACTAATGGTGGTGGTTCACTTTTCAAGGCCCTGTAAGTGTCAAAGGCAACATATATCTTCTAGAATAGCCATTTGACTGCAACATTGTCTATACTTAACTGCACCCAAATGTCTACTACTGTTACAGTCATTTTTATCCATTCTCCAGGGCTGAGATGTTGCCACAGCCTCTGCAGATATCATTAACTACTGGGTTCTGCCTTGCTGCAAAATGAGACTCATGAAATTGTGACATGTGAAAGTTCATCCTTGAATCCTGTAATGGTTTGAGTTGGAAGGGACCTTAAAGATCATGTTTCCAATCCCCTTGCCATGGGCAGGGACAGGAATGTTTCACTCAAGCTTAGCTTGGTGAGGACCAGTACCCAGAAGGCTGTTGACACTGCTGATCTTGGTCAGTTATTGCTTTGAATGTTTAAAATGAGCCAAACATAAATATCTGTGCTGATAGAATACTATCTCTTTCCAGTCTGATACCTTACAGTTAAAGCACCACCTACCTCTGTGTGTCACGTTGAGTATGTGCTGAACTTGAGACCTTTTGCTCAGTCAGGGCTTGCTTCTTGGTACAGCTCTAAAATAAAAAACAAACATTAAATTAATATAGATATATATTAAAGGTGTGTGTGGCGAAACCCCAAAACCAGTTACAACAACAAATGAAAATGAATCTAAAGACATAATAAAGCTAGCTAGCTATCCATGCTGTCTTCTTCACCGTGGACCAGTATGTTGCAGACACACAGTACCTAAGCCTGAATGCTGATGTGTGAGTGACTGTGCTGACAGAAGAGCAAACACTTGCAGGAAAGCTTTCCTTGCCTAGTGTACAACATCTATTTCAGAGGCATCTCTTCAAGCTGCAGATGACCTTCTGTTGGCCTGTTGATGTCAACAGATTTTTGTCATCCACTTCAAGCTTTAGAGCAAATACTAATGCAAAGAGTGTGTTCATCTTTGACCCATTCAGCTAAATGACCTGTGACAGTTGAATTCTCCTTTTGCTATTGCTGCTGTTCCTCCCAACCCTTTCTGTTCCACTGTGGCTGCTTATCTCTGCAGCCACATGGTTTAAGGAGTTGATCTCCCTGAAAAATAATATGATTTTTATTCAGATTGAGTTATTTTTCAGCTGTCCCTTTCTGATCTGGTCCATTATCCATCTGTGACATGAAGACACACTCATTTGCAAAACAAAGGTGACAAATTCCTAAACCAGTTAAGCTTAAATAGTGCTACCTGATATCAAACTGTCACCTGTAGCTTTAACCAGAAAGCTGGATCGTGCCTTTTTCTTCTTAATATATACAACATCCCATGTTATTTACCTGCACTGTTGTCTGATAGTTTTGGATAAAAGATCTGGAATATGGACTCATTTAGGTTGGAAAAGAAGTCTATAGCTTGGTGTATTGTATATTGACACAGGGCCCAAGTTGTTAACCCCCCTAGTCTTGCAGAAAGTTTGCCCTGGAAGAAAGAGGGATTATAATCAATTTGTTTAATTAAATCAATCTAAACTAATTGTCAGCTAATAAAATAGTGTGGACCAGCTCATAAAACAGAAAGGAAGATTAAAAGAGTAGTTGCCATGAGCAGGTGGTAACTGTGTTTCCAAGTTAGCCCACATTACTCTCTGGCACAGGCTCTTGCAGAATACCTCATATTCGGGTTTTTATGAAAAAATGTTTATGAAACTTATAAAATATAGGGCTCATTTTAGAACCAATTTTCTGTCTCACCTGCCAAGAGCAGTGGGGTTGAGCCAGCACAAGGCGGATGCAGAGCTTTAGGCAGCTGTCCAGGACTGGATTCCCTGCGCAGAGCTGTGGAATACATTTCTACCTTTGACTTTGGCCTTTCTTCTACAACTCTTATGATTTAGGGGTTTCTTTTTCTTTCTTGTTGCTATTTCAGAAAAGCCCTCGTAAACATTTTTTTAATGCCATTGATCTCCACCTGGCACTGTTGTGCAAAGGGAAAAACTTCCTGTGCTGAGCTGTGGATGCTCTCCAACTGTAGATGGCTCTTGAGGTAGTAATCCCTCTGGATTTGGTGCTTGGTGTTTCTGCTGACTCTGCAGTTCTTGCAGAAGGCATAAAGCATCTAATTCTAACTGGGAAAGACTAAACTGGAATCTATATTCATTTCTTAAAGGAGATGCAGAACTTAGTGGTTGGTAGCTGCTGTTAATGGTGGAATAATGGAAGAAAATGTATTGCATAGCGGCTATTATATTATTTGTTAATAGTGCAAAACTGTGGTTCTGAGAATTTTGCTATGGCTTGCAGTTAGTTTGAATGCTCTGTAGTGAGGCAAAAGGCTTTCAGCACCAAACTTGTGACTTGTATCTCCTACCCATTTTCTGTGACCACCCATTTCCAAAAACCTCAGGCAGGATGTACTTGGTTGCTCTTATGTTAAGTCTTCAAACCTGGTAAGGCACTGTAAATCTGGGTTAATTCCCTTTCAGATAAGTTCCCCTCTTTCAGAGTGCTGTCACATCAGTGCAGCTCTCTGGGGTTCTGGCTGCAATGAATATCTCAGTTAAAAGGGGATGATGCATCAGGAGAACACTTGCTATGGTTGCTCATTAGAGCAAAGCCATGGTGGGAGCTTATGGGAACATCCCCTTGGGTCCCTGGTCTGATTTACCATGTCCTTGCCAGCTGAAAAGATTCCTCACATTGGCAGTCCTTTGAGGAGCTTGGGAGCAAGTGCCTTTGAGACACAATTGCTGTAGGAAAAAGCAGTAAGATAGGCTTGGTGTCCATTCAGGGCAGTTTTCTGTTCATCCACATGTTCCATGCTTGCCCAGTGTTATGAAAATGTCTGCTGGGAGTCACACCAGCAGCCAAGTCTCTATTTACTTCCCCCAATGGAGCAGAGGTTCCTCCAAAGCTGGAGCAATATTAAAATATCAGTCCTATAAAGAAATCTGTGGGGTTTAGTGAGTATTTGAAGGCCTTAAGGGACTCCAGGCCTTGTCCAGATTAGCACTGGTGTAATTGCACCAACATCCGCTGTTCCAGTGAAGATGAATAGGAGGACAATAAACCAAGCCTGCTGCTGAGCTTTCTAGGCGTATGTGCAAAACCACCCAGGACCCCAAACTAACACGAACCATATCCAAAGCAATTATCTGATCTTGTTTGTTTGTTTTTAATGTGATGTTTCTCGACACTAGTACAACAAATGCGCTCTTGTAAAATCTTGTAACAGTTGTTTGTAGTTAGTATCTTCAAGATGGTTTTATATGTGCAGATCATGACTAATGCGTCACTCCCATGTGACCGTCATCCTCCAGTGCTGTGGGAAACTTGGTACTAAGACAGTTATTTCCTCAGCTTTTTTAGCATTTCTCCTTTTTACCCTTTTCTGCGAGAAAACAGACACTGATTTGCTCACAGACTGTGCTTCCCACATGAAAGTGTTTTGTGGTTCACAGACTTAAATAGTTAGGTCTTCACAGACCTCAGACTGGTTTACAAAGGCAGTTGGAGTCATCATCTCTGGTTTTATACTTGGAGATAGAAAAATCTGCAGAGGCAAGGTAACCAGCCCAGCTCACAGGCTAAAGTGTACTCTGCTGTTCTGAACATTAGGAGATGCTGCTAAAGGGCTTGCCCCTCACCTTGATTCCTTCTCCTTGTCACAAACCTATGCACCAGCAACTGGGAGGGTGCTGGGTTCTTCTTCCCATGGCTCAACCAAAACGATAGCAGCTGCTCTCCCTCCTTCAACCTGGGACCATTTTTTCCCCATAGCATGCAATTGATGCAGTGAGATCCCCAAACCCCCTCCAAACCCACCCCAAACCTCTTTTCCATTCAACCAGAACGGGTTGCTGCAACCTCTTCCATTCGGTAGGTTTTTCTGTGATTGTATTTCTTGGAAGCATCATGTCCAATAGCGGCACGGGGCTCTTTTACAGGCTTATTTCAGCACTTAGAGCACGAGTGTGTGAGTCTGTGCCTGCAGGACTGCTGTGGGTGGGAAGGGAGAAGTGTTGGCGAGAGTGCGGACGAGCTGAGCAGGGAGAGCAAAGACGCTTTCATTCCTTACGTTTTGCTCCACAAGCTGAGTAAACGTTTTCTCTGCTGAAGCAGTGCTGTGCAGGCGAGGGTTTGACACATTCCCAGTGATAATTGCCTTGTCTCCCCCCCACAGGTTCATCTGGCCGCCAGCACGGCTCCTTTCCCAGCCAGGACCGTAAGTGGGCAACATTGAACATCATGCAAAAGCAGAGCCTAAGAGCAAAGAGGGATGCACTCCTGGGTGGGGGGCCATGCCCTTTGCTTATGGGGGGAAGCATATGGGAGGGGGTCTGTGAGTCTCTGCTTTTTGCCTCCATTTCCCTCCACTATCCAGAGGGCAAGGAAAAGAGGAGCTGGAAATGCCCCGCTCCTCTCAGGCTCAGGGAATTGCCCAGGCAGCACCTGATGAACACCTGGGAAGGGCTATTCTGCTTCCACTTCCCTTGTTTTCCCTTGGGTCAGTGTGTGAGAGGGGACACCAGGCCCCACAGAGCCTGGATCTGTCCCAGGGTGCCTGTTGTGCTCTCCTCCTTGCAGTTAAAACCCACCCCCTGTTTTCCCTGACCTGCTCATGCTCCTCTTCAATCTTTGTGGGTGCTGTTGTTGAGAAGAGCCAGAAAGGGGGTCAGCTCGATGAGGTGAGAGCTGCAGAGTGTTCAGAGGGAAGGTGGCTGTGACCCTGTTGCAATTGCAGGGTGCCTGTGAGGAGAGAGGTTCATCAGCCCTTGACATTCGCAGCCTGGTGTCTCCTCATATCTGAGTGTTTCTGTGATCCTGGTGTTGTGTCTCTGAACAACCTCCCCTGAGAAAACTCAAATGGCTTTAAAAGTTGAAAGTGAAAGGGAGCTTATTTACTGCCTGCTAGTGCATGAACTGTATGTCTCCAAACCGATGGTAAAAGTGGTTTGGTAGTGCTCTGGTGCATGTGGAAAAGCTCAAGCAAGTTTTTAAATTCAACCATATATCTCCAGTGATGGTAATCAGTAAGAAGCAGGAATTTACATTGGAGTGTTTGTACCTGATAGCCATGTGCAGGTTTAGTGGAAGAGGAAAATCTTGGGACCTTTGGAGCAGCAGCACATGTGCTGAGCAGGCAAGTTACTCTGAAAGGCAAGCAGTGGTATGCAAGGGCATGAAGAGCTCACTGTGATCTGCATCATTGCTCTCCTTGCTGAGCAAACACTCATAGGAAAATGAGCATCCCTTAGCCCAAAAGCTCTTATGAAGCCTTAAATTAGAATGAGCATCTGTCTGTCCCACCCTCTATTAAAGACATGCTTCATGTTCTAGCTGCAGTTCATATCTGTGTGCTCTGCCCGTGGATGTTGCAGACCATGCTTCTGATTCCTCATTAAAAACAGTTGTTCAGCATAGAACTGGTTGTTCGTCCCTGATGGAATGGACAATAGCCAAGCAAACAGAGTTGGCAGCCTGGGAGGGGTCTGCAGTGCTGCATCCCTTGGGTGGAACCCTGGAACTGAAGATGCCCAACATCTATTCCCAGCACTCACTGCAGAGACCAGAGGGCCTTGGGACTGTGTAATGGCTTCAAGTCCTTCCTTGCAATTTTTAGTTCTTATTGTATCAGGGAGAAAATCAATATCCAGGTACAGAAGTCAGTCCCAGTCCTCTGGGAGAGAAGGACCCCTCAGTTCTTGTTTCTACCCTTTTTCTCTTTCATGTTCTCTTCCATGGTTGGGGATGCTGTTGCTTACTCCTCTCTTTTCCTTAGGCATGTCCTGGCACACAAATGCACTTCTTACCACACTGGAACCGCCATGCAGAGGAACTAAATGGCATGTCCAAGAACATGTGGGAAAGTATTGTGTCAGCAGGAATTGCATCTAAATGTTCTGCAGTTCTTATTATCAGTCTCACCACAGGGCAGTCTGGTTTCTGGATTGTCTTTTTGAAGTGGTGGTTTGTTTCCTTCCTCTCTCTCCACTTTGTGCTTCAGTTTCTCCCTTGGCGGCTGTGCCCTTTTCAGTAGCTGCCCTGTTCTGTGTCCATAGAGGGCAGGAGTAGCTCTGCCACCTGCATACCATGCACAGCCTTCTGAGGAGACTAACAGATTATTTTGTGGTTTCTTCTGTGTATCTTTAAGGCTTCATCCATGCAAAATCTATCTGATGCTGCTCTTCTTCTGCTAACCTGACAGCGGGGGTTAGAGGATGTCGGCTGGGGTTTGTTGACTGTACAAGGAATTTGCCATATCAGCAATTTGGCTTAGGTTTCCCCTGGTTGTCCTGTGTTTAAAGATGTTTCCTTCTATGGTTTGCTCTTAAATCATTTAACTTCTAAATGATACTCAGAGCTTTAGGATGTAGGCTCAACTCTTTAGGAGTATGGAGCCAGGCAGCAGTGCAGAGATGTATTGCTCCTCATAGGGCTGGGACTTGCTCTCTGAGGTCTGGGAGGGGAGATGACAATTCAGACATGAACAATGAAATGAAGGATTCCACAACTTCCCTGGGGACTAGAGAAAGAAAAATTGTGCAGTGTAGGGTGTACATGGCAGGAGGAAATACGCCACATAAGTAGGAGCAGGTAGGCTGAGGGCAGGAGCACTGTAAAATCAGCTCCTTCTCACTTCAGCGTTCATTAACTCTGATACAGGCATGACCAAGATGGAATAACAGAGAGCTAACAATGAGCTCTGGTTTAAGTTGCAGTAGAGATCTGACTGCAGGTGCTTTTCTATCTTTTCAAGCTTGAGGAAGTAGAAAATTTTCTAATGCGAGTGCATGGATTACTTGAATCTTGTCTTAGGCTTTTTCTGCCCCTTGGTGACCTGCATCCCAATCCCTTGGGAATGTAATTCCTGGCATCCATCCCACTGTCTTGGGTAAGGTGGGAAGGTAATACTGCGTTATGTTTAGGTACTGGAAGTGCTTCAGAAGTGTGAGTTGCTGCTGTGTTTATACAAGGTATAGAAAAGCTGTCTGTTTTCTGTTCCTTGTAGGCTCATAAGCGCTACAGCAGTGAGAGCTCTGCAGAGGCTTCTGGCCACACTCAGGCACTTTCGACCCTACCCGAGGTGGGTGTCTCTGCCTGGTCCTTCCTATTGGCTGCTCCTAAGCATTCAGCCCATCAGAAACTTCAGTTTCAGGGACTAAAGTGGAATTTAAACTATCTGAATGTAGTTCTTTGTGTCAAATCAAATGATTTGTTAAAGTGAGGCCAGGTTTGTGGGGGAATCAATCTTCTTTATTAGATCAACTGATGTGGAAAAAGCAGATGAACTTTCGGACATATTAGCCCTCCTCCTGGCTGGGGTTTGGATTACAAGAGCAAGGGATCTGTTTGCCAGGGGAGGCTGGACTGCTGCATATGCCACTACATCAACTGTTCCTCAGTGGTCTTCATCTGAACGCAGACATGGGTGGCATTTTTGGGCATGCTTGTACACTTTTAGGGGGAGAAAGTCTTGTCTCTCCCTCAGTGTTTGGACACTAGATGTTACTACACAACAAATAATGGGCTCTGCTCTGCAGCTGACTCATTGTGCAAGTCTGGGGCTAATTACTGAATCCCTCTGTGCCTCAATTTCCATCTGTAAAATGTCACAGATGCCCACCATTCATAAATGGCTTTCAGATTTCCAGATGAGGTGCTGTGCAAGTGTAGAATAGCATTAGTTTATGCATATTGTGCTAGAGTGTAATATAAACCACATGCAACAGAAGAGCCTCACAGATGTGTCTTTCAACTGCAAAAGGCAATGCCTGGGTTGATGATTTAGCATAGCACTAATTGGGCTAAAATAGGAGATTGCTTTTGTACTGATGCAATTGTCACCATTCAAGTCCTCATTTACCAACAGTTTTTGGAGATAGCCCAGTTATTTCCTATTGAGGAAAAGTGTAGTGCCTTGGGTTTTGAAGCACAGCAATTTATAGCAAACGGTGATGTTTTTATAGCATCCCCATGCTGGCTGTCCTCATGCTTCTGGAAGGGGACGGCTCCTTTGTTTATGTTGAATGTGCATCTTGCTCAGCCTGTAGCTGCACTTAGCACTGTTTTTTTGCTGCCTGCAACCTTTTGGGCATATCCTAATCTCAAAGCAGAGGCATTTGAGTTGTTTCTGTAGCCATTACTGGGTGTTGCATCTGCAAGAACCCTCCTTTATTGATAAGAAAGCTGTTCCTGTGGCTGTGAGCTAGTGAGTGCCTGGCAGCTGCTCAGCATTGTCAGTTCTCAAAGTTAAAAGGATTTGTGGGCTGTGATGGTTTGGGTTTGGGCAGTTAACTTTGGTGAAGTGCTTGAGGGTGTCTTCTAGGCGCATTTCATGGAGAAAGATGAACTTAAACGGTTAAGAGATTTGATTTGATGAACTGCCCTTAAATATCCTGATTGTGCTGTTGGGGCTGAACTCTCAGTGTGTAGGAAACCAAGGAGCTGCTTTGACTGCAGGAGAATTATGGTTGTTCCTTCCAGTTCCAATTTGGCTCTGTTCTGGTTTGAAAGTGCCAACATCATCCCTGTTGCCAGCAGCATTGTGTGGCAGCAGGAAACAGTGAGTGTACATTGAGTCCCTATCCTTTAGCTGTGTTATTTTAAAGCCCTGGTCTGCACTTACTTGCCAGTGTATTGTTGCCTGGTGCTCTGGAGTGGTTAGTGATGCTGAGCTGTTGTGAGAAGAAGGTGTGGGGTTGGGGACATGAAAGTATCTCTGGAGATATCCAGCTCCTTCTTGGTGTATTGCAGACAAATTGCGCCATTCCGCCTTTGTCCAGGTTGGACTTCCTGGCTGTTCTCCCCGTTCCTCACCAGTGCTTAGAGGGAGGGTCAAAATTCAGTGTCAGATTCTCCACAGCTGTAGGAGTAACATAATATTGAGGCTGAGTGCATGGGGTGACAGGTGTGGGAGAGAAGATTGGCTGACACCCAGCCTTACCCAATGCTTGCCATGTTCCAGGAGAAATCTCCCTGGATGCTGGAGCTTCATTCATGGGTCTAAACTTGCCATTAAGGCATTTTTAAGGAACGTTTCAAGGTGGAGGCAGCTAGAATCTTAAAATGAACCTCCTCAAACTACCACCAGCATGATGTCTCTTAGGGGATGCTTTATAATATGGTGCTCAATGTTGTGTAGATATCAAACCAGAGAAAGTACCAGGAGGCAAATTGTGAATATGGGCTCCATCCCATCAGGAAATAAATAGATCCCCAAAT